ATTCCGTCGCCTTGCGGCGCCACCGACGATGGGGACCCGATGGCTGCTACCATCACTGAGAAAGTTTCTAGTAAGGACATCATGAGTCGATTTCTGGCCTTTGATGACATCACTTACCGTCAAGATTACGGCGTTCGCGCGGCGTGCCTCACGTAGCCGAAACCCAAAACGGAGTTGTGCGGTTGTGCAGTTGTGCGCTCACATGAGCCAAAAAATTACATCTCCAGAACGCACCTCGCGTGACTGTTTGCTCATACGTTTTTCGGAAATTTCATTTAAACCCTCGTTAGACCCTTGTTTCTGGCCGCTGGTTATTTATAACCCGGTTACAATCGAAAAAACCCCGAAAGTACTTTCGTACTTTCGTACGAAAGTATCTATTCTACTGTATTTCCGTACGGAAGTACGTACGGAAGTACTTTCGTACTTTCGTACTTCAAGTACAGTTTTACTGTACTTCCGACCACTCCCCGATCGAGCCAGCCGGTCAAACTCCGCACTTCTCCCAACAGACCGGGCCGAAGCGCCGGAGGCGCTGATGATAGGGCTAGCCGCACGAGTAAGGTTTGTCTTCAAACAGTTTCTAGCCCTACACGTACGTGTACGTGTATAGCTGTATACGTACGTGTAGTCTTACTTCCGTGCTTCCGGAAGTAATTCCGTACGCGTACGTACCTTCGCGACGTACAAGCGCGTCCACACGATCCAATCACGCGTCCCGCAACGACGGCACTCGCGCGAGGAGCGTGGATATCACCTCCGTGCTCACCAGGAACCCCTCCGGATCCGTCAGAGCGATCGTCGCCGTCTCCATCCCCGCTTCGAACGCGTCCCGCCATCCTTTCGCGCCGAGGTCGAACACCTCGTTCTCTCCTTCGCCGACGCCCTCGCCGCCGCCGCCGCCGCGACGCACGGTCGCGGTGACCAGCCCCGGCGGGTACGTCTCTAAGACGGCGAAGACCTCGTCAACGACGCGCGCGCCAAAATCCTCTCGAAGCGCGCGCGCGTCCACGCCGTCGGACGTCCTCAACCCGAGCATCAGACGCTCGAGCAACGTGTCCGCGACCGCCGTCGCGTCGTCCTCGCGTGCGCATTCATCCCGCCCGTCGTCGTCGTCGTCGTCGTCGTCGTTCGAGGCGGCGGCGTCTATCGATATCATCGCGTCGACGAACGCCTCGTACTCGCGCGTCTTCCGCGGCCTCGCGTCGCGCGCGCCGCGTCTCGTCCTTGACGTCGCGCTCAGCCCGAACCCGTACCACCCTCGGTCCGCGTTCCAATACGTTTGGTTGTGCTGCGAGGTCGTCGCGCGAGAGGGAGACGAAGAGCGCGCGCGCGCGCGGAGAGAAGCGGTCGGTCGGTCAGCGCGCGATCGTAGACGC